GTGCTTGCAGCCCAGAAAGCCAACCCTACCCTGGGCTGCATCCAAAGCAGTGTGATCAGCAGGTCAAGGGAGGGGATTCTGCCCCTCTGCTCTGCTCTGGTGAGACACCCCCTGCAGTACTGCCTTCAGCTCTGGGGCCCCCAACACAAGAAGGACATCGACCTGTTGGAGAGAGTCCAGAGGAGGCCACCAAGATAATCCGAGGGCTGGAGCAACTCTACTGTGAGGAGAGGCTGAGAGAGTTGGGGTTGTTCAGCCTGGAGAAGAGAAGGCTCTGCGGGCTCACTGCATTTTTAGGCTCTGTTAAACCACTCTAATGATGCAAATACAGCAACTCCTTCCATACTCTACAGGCCATCAGAAGAAAAAGTTTCAGCACTTAAAAGGATGCTCTCCTTTCATCACAATGATCCCTGTATAGATCTATCACAGTCAGTAAGGAATTAACATATTATTATTACGGAAATATGTGTATTTATTGAAAAAAATAAATCTTTAAGTGCTACCTGTCTTAGTTTGCTACACTTTTTATAGGAGGACCCAGCCTGTCAGGCACTATCGCAAGGGAGAATGCTCCAACACATCTTTTCCCCATATTATCCTCTCCACTGGCAACTTGACAGCACTAAAAATGGATAATTTGCAAGAAGATGGAGGTATGGAAAAGGTTTCACATTGCTGGAGACAAAGCGTTTCACTTGCCTGAATGCTCCAAGACGAACCACATTTCTTTAAAGAAAAAAAAAAAAAAAACAAACACAAGGCTGTTTTATCATTTGATTCTAGTTCCAGACTCGAGAGGAACCTCAGCTTGTTTTTAACAGCACGCATAAGGAAGAGTTTGGGCTTTTTTTTGGTTAGTTGGTTGTTTGTTTTTTTCTTATTTGTTATGCAAATCCATGGCAACTACCATTCCTGCATGAAAAAGTTTGCTCACGTCTGTGAACATCCCAGAACTGCAGCATCATTTCTTCAAGCAGAAACAGCCACCTCTGGCCAGGTCCCAGCTCAGCAGCCGAAGTGTACAGCAGATGTACAGCAGAGCAGTGAAGGAAAGCAAGAAACCAGCCCCGCTCTCCTCCCCTCCTCATGGCCCTCGCAGTTCCTCAGCACTCAATTCCTTCATGCTGAAACTGGAAAAGCCCCCCCAAAATCTAAATTGAAATGCAGAGTGGCAGCTCTGCTCAGGCCTGGCAGGGATACGGACACGCTCCACACCAGCAATGCAGCATCCGAGAGAGTCTGTGGGATACAGACCCACGATAAACCCAACATCTCTCTCAAGAGAGGAAGGCACCCTTGTTCAGTCATTTTGTCACACAGCTCCCTGTTTATAAACTGTGCTGTTTTAGAGACGTTCACCTTCTCCTTATCCAAATATGAACACAGTTACATTAACCCAGAGAGTCTACAGCTCTTGGCTTTTGCCCATTTTAAAACATCAGTAGTAACTTTTAATAAAATATGTTCAACAAGACAAAAAATATCTGTTAAAATCACATCATTTTCCTATTTGCACTGTGCTAGTAACGGCATGTATGAATCACAACACGTGGCACAAATCTGCAGCATCGCCCTTTAACAGAGTCAATCCAGAGCAAATTTCCATTTAGAAGTCAATTTTATGCTTTATACCCACTCTTTTTCTTTCCCATCTTAAGAGGTTTGTTTCAAGATTGCACATAAATTCAGCACTTCTAAAGCAAAACAAACAAACAAAAATCACTTAAACATTTCTTTGAAAAACTGTATTAAACAAGAAGATTATACAGGATAAAGAAAATTGGAGAAAGAATACAACAGGTACTGAGAGCAGAAGGTGATCAAGCCCAAGAAACACTGAAACTCGTCTAACTTCCCTCAAAATGAAAGTATCAATGAATTCCAGACTGTACTCACATTTTTTCCCTTTTTTGTAGTAAATATTACACTTATTTAGAAGGGCACTGCTATATTACAGTTTCTTAAAAACAATAAAAAGGTAGCTAGTAAAAATTTAGACAATCAGCAGCATCTCGTATAGTACAAGAGCAAAACAAGACAACAGATTTGTGTAACTCATTGAAAACTCTTTATGCACCTCCTATAAAAAATATTGTCCTTGGCTTTAAAAAAACACCAAGATTAAAGGTTTGACTAATATTCAAAGTATGCAAATGGCATCCTCATCAAAGTCCCTAATCCAAAAGACTTACTGGCTCAAAACAGACTTTTGGTGTGATCCCAATTTAATTTCACCATACCTGAAATGCTCAGAACATGCAGATATTATATTTAAATGTATCCATTTAGAGCGGTTGCAATTCTGGCTCACATCAAAATGCAATATTGGCAGTTGTCAGAATGAATGATGCCACCCTGCTCTTTGCTGAGGTCATCGGCCTGGCTGTTTCCTCTGGGTTTTTTTGCTCAGTGCAGCTTAAACGCATGCAGAAATCAGCACAACGAGGGGGTTTAAACCCACATCTTCAGTGAAATTCAAACAAGTCATCACACTTGCAAAGCAAGGGAAGTGCCAGAACCATCATCCCCCCTGCTCTTTGAGGGATCCTATACAAGATATGAAAACCACAGCATAAGGTGCCATGCACTTTGAAAACACGCAAGCAGCAAACCTGAGGGCAGCAGCAAAAGCAGGTCCCAGCTCACGTTCCCGTCCACTGCCTTGCCCCCTGCAAGAGGGTTCAGCTGGGCAGGACATAATTTCACATGCAATTCAAAAGGAGAGGGCAGATGGTTTGTTTCTAGCTGATTTCACAAGCCCTGATTAGCAGATTGTATACAAATGCAAACAGTTAACATTCACAGAGCAACCTCTTGTACCTAATTATTATAATAGATTTAACATCATTAATAAATATATAAAACAACATGTTAATCTCACAGACAAAACACATTTCAAAGGTCAGCATTGACTGAAATATCCAGGCAGTTTGGTCATTGTTTAAAGCACTGAAGAATTAGACACAGATAATAATGTGAGTGTTAAGAACAGGCTCACAAAATACAAACTGAAGCTTGGTTTAACCTTTCTGAAGAGGCTCTGAACTGGTCCCACAAGCTATTCTGAATGGCCTTCAAATGAAGGCCCTTGCAGCCATTGCATATTTAAGACTAGAAGAAACTCCTTTACACTGTACGTATCTTGGCACTTTAGCTAGATCAGCTGCAAAGCAGGTATTCCTCAGGGACCAGCACACACAGGTAAGCAGATCTGTCCCAAATGATGCTGCTCTGCGTTTCATATAATCTCATGCTTGAAAGAGGAGATCGTCCTGTTAGCGCTTGAAAGCCTTGGTCTGGGAGACAGAGACCTAGGTGCTCACTCCTAGCCCTGACACAGACGACTTCTGTCATCTTAATCCAGTCCCTTTCTCTCTCGGTTCACCTGCCTCTGAAAAGGAGAGGCAGTAATTCCCTGTCTCGCAGTGCTGTTCTGAGGCTTAATTTCATAAGGTGCTTTTGAAGAGTCTCAGAAAAGGCACTACAAAAGGGCAGCTATTTTAACGTCAGGAACGCGGACAGAGCTGTGCGTCCCACAAGCCTTTCCCGAGATACCGATGTGCAAATCTAGAAGACATGAGGACTCGCACTACATCACACTTCAGCAGTCCCATCGCAGTAGTTTTGTTTTCTCCCACAGATTTAAACAAGCTCCACATTCCCAGGTCTTGACAAAATTACTGGGCTGCCCCGTTTCGCAGGCTGTCTCCAGTCTCCATTTGTTCTAACGGGACAAATTCGGGATGTGTGACCGGGGATTTCCTTTGCCCTCGAAGAGTGTGTGCATTCAACATCTCCAGCAGCAAGTCATACACTGGGACCACGTTTTTACACTTCATGCTCAGGAGATGCTCCATTCCCTTGTTACTGTGAAGGAGAACAGAAAATAAGTCTGCGATCTGGGTCCAACAATGCAGAGAAGGAAAACACGCTCATGGCTTCACAAGAGTCTTTTTTTTTTTTTATTAGGAGTTAAGAGGATTTAGCTGCTGTAATCCCTGAGCTCACTTACCACTATCAACAGTAACAACATCCCAAAACTTTAAGGCTGAGTGTTTTACTATTTAGAGAACTGAGATTTGTTTTGCACTGCACAAACTGACTTCCGAAAATAATTCAGATGTACCGATCCTACTGAAATCAAAGAGAAAAACCTCTTTGATGCTGTAAACATGGGAGGGCCACACACTGCAGCTTTATACAAAAGAGGAATTTGCAATGTGTATCCCTAATGACTACCTACCTCTCCTGCCTGGCTGAGCAGGAAGACCAAATTACCCTGGCTAACTTCAAGGAGTTTGTTTCCTCTCTGCACGGCCAGTGTCAGATCTTGCAGATAGCTACAGGTTTTAAAAGTAATTTTTTTGTTATGCAGTAAGATACAACGACACCTTGGTACTTGGTAGCTTGAACACTCTGTGGCTGTATCGTGATTTGGACTAACAGGAGATGGCTCAATAGCACCAATAGCAACCACTGCAGTTGCACAAACGTGTACTTGAGAGGCACTCAAGGTTTTGGGGTTGAAATCTAAGTACGTTTGCTCAACACCAAATTTATCACAGCGAAGCACATACTTGAGCTGGTGGATTGGATGGGGAAGCGGGGTAATGCTTCCAGAAAAATGAGGTTCTGCTACAATTCAAGAGTTATAAATATGTTAATGGCAAAGAAGAAATTGCGACCTCCCCTCCTACACTTGGCTCTTGAGATTCCTGCATCATTTGGTAATCAAAGCTGAGAGCATCAATTATTTCCAGAACAAAGTATAATTGACTGACCAGTGCTAAGCAACGTAACAACGTAAAGGAGACAGATCAAAACAAGGAGCCTCCAAACTTTGGCTGAGGCAGGCACAGCATAAAAACTCTTGTTTTAACAAGAAAATATAAAAATTTTGCAAAGATTCACAATGTTTATTCACTCCATGCCAAAACAAGAGCTCCTGCGATGCTGTGATGTGGTGTCACACCAGAGCGGGCAACCCAGGTGACAGCAGCGCGTCAGAGCCGTGAGTCGAGTTCAGCTCTGGCTGGTCCTGTAGCTTCTGTAGGGCCAGCACCCAAACTCACCCCCAGTTCACAAACCAGCTGTTAAGAGTTGCCTTTTGGCACAGTCAGGTCCCTGCTGCTGCCACCTGCTCTCCCAAGAAGCTTGTTGCAAAGGTGGCTGTCCTTCTTCCAGTGTCCCTACACAAAGTCAGACATGCCCATCTCTCCTTTGCATACTCCAGCCTGGTCCCAGGACTGTCTTCCCCGGATACACAGTCCAAAGTCAAGACATAAGAGAGCTTTGTGAATAGCTGGTCTCTGGGTAATAATTTTAAATTACAAACAGCCTGAAAATTAAAGCATCTGTTTGTAGGAACCTGCGTTTGAGCCTGCTGTACTGCAAGGAAAGATGAGCAGCTCAAGGAGGTCCAGGAACTGGTAGGGAGCAGAGGACCTGCTTCCCATGGGGACAGCAGGAGCGTGGCATTGCTGTAGCACGAATCACTTGGCAAAAATGCTGTGGTTCCAAATAAAAGACAATAAATTTGGCATGGGACAAACGTGACACCCAAAGTACACGTTGCTCCACCAAAGCTCACACTGCAGATCAGTTTTGAAAGAGACTTTTATTTTGGATGGAAGAGTTTTGATGTCTGGGTGGCATTTTTTTTGAAAGGCTGAGTTTGTGTTATTATTGTTAAACGTGTCAGGCAGATACATAATGAACACTTTCATGTAATACAGTTAAGACAGCGTTTTAACATCAACCAACATTCTTGAGTGCCAGCAAGCACTTGAGTATATTGCCTGTTTGGTTGTGCTAGGAGGGACCGCCTTACAGTGAACAGAGATGAAGAGCAGTACCAGGATTCATTCCCTCAAGAGTGCTCTGGAGTTCAAGCCTTGCTTTGTTGCTGTAATAAACAAACACTAACACCTTACGTGTTACAGACATTCTGTAAGATTTACCTTGCGTGTCTGACGTGAGAGAGGAGCATCAACAAATTGGCCAGGCGAGTTGTCTGCTGCTGCGATGGGATTCCGCTCTTTGCAATAACCCACACCAAAGCATCTGTGACGACATTAAGCAAGTGATGCAGTTTCCTGTTGCTTTCAGGTTCTTCTGCTGACAAGGGAAACATGCCTAACCGGAGAAAAGAAATACTCTCTGCTCATGAGGAAGGAAAAAAAGCTACCACTGTGGATTTTTTTCTGATGTAATATTTCAAGAGATGTATTTCCTGACGACCCTCCTCAAGATTGTACAAACAACGCTCCATGTGCCACCCCAAGCTTCGACTCATTCCGTTGAATGACACATTCCGTTGTCAAAATTTGACAGCCACATCATTTGCAAACTGAGTAATTCTCCCAAATCCTCCCAAAACAACAGGTTGAACATAGACCTTTCAGTCCAGAGAATGGATGTGCTCTCCATTCTCCAGGTTTTTATTTCCTTTGAATCACTCTGTACCTTGTAGTTTGGTGACTATTATGAAATATAGCATTATGCTTGCTCTAATCTCTTCTTGTTCAAAATTTTTTTTTTCTCTGAGTATATCCGAGGGAGGGAGGAGAACATGGTGAGAGACACTGCTCATAGACCCAGCCTGCCATGGTCTCTCTACAGCTCACTAAGGGTGCCATAATATAGCACTTGCCTACAGTGAGAAACCTCAAAAGTCAGCAAAAGTGAAAAAAGGGGGTTGGGGTATGGAGAGAGAAGAGAAGAAATCACCACTAGGAAGGTCTGGAAACACACAATAACATTACTGATAGAGCAGAAGAGACCTGGGGAAAAAAAAATTCCTCCCAAAGATACTTATGGAAGGACAGAGCTCCAGAATGCCTTGAAAATTAGGAGTAAAAGATTAACTTTGACAAGAAAAGAGAGCAAGGAGAGGTGAAAGGCGAGATTATTTGAGAGGTGAGGCTTTGAAGAAATTATGGCTGGTGGACCTGG